AAGCAAGTCTACTAGGTAAAAAACGAGTTGCAAGTCGACTGTTTTGGCAGATTTCCTTTTTCAAAATTTAAAATTTTCTTTTTCCATGTTAATCAAATTACTAGTTTTGTTAAGTTATGAATCAATCAATTTTATAAATTCATCTTTTCAGAAATATTAATTTTGATAAAGTAACTTTCATTTATCCTTCATATGAATCTCAATTGATTTATAAATTAAATCATTAACAAATACCATGAATTTGTTGTGGACAAATATCTGAAACCTTAGAGTTTTCAAAATATTATTTTTACTTAAATTAAATTTTTTGTTTGATTTGTTATCAAACAACCAAATATTCAAAACCTTATAAATTATTTTCCTTTCAGCATTAACTTCCAAATATCTTGCTCCACACACGAATTGATACTCTTAGAGCTAATTTTTTTATAATTCACGAACTCAATTTTGTCGATCCACGAATTCAATTTGTCAATTCATGATTTACAATGATTTCTCATCCATGCTATCATGGACAATGACATTTATTATATATGACAATTATCAAAAAGTACCTGATAGTTTATTAGTTTATGATTATAAAGTTTTCATTTTATGTAGAAAAATTTAAACAATATATCTTTTTAAGAATCTAGAATAAATATATAGATTTCTCAAGTCACATTTTGTTTTAAAAAATATATGAAAATACTAACTTTTGTATTTTAATTATTTTTAATATTATATATCTTCTAACATAGAAGAATTTACAAATATTAAAAACTTTGCATTCATGGTATCATTTTTATTTATTTATTTATTTTACCTCAGTAAAAAACACACTATCGCACGCACTTGACTTTTTATAAACTTGAACTCTTGAGGACTACCACCAAGCCACTTCATTTGTTATTCAATTGTGATTTGAATCCACAATAAAATTCATAGAGATATGGGTGCTTAATATATTTACTACAACCCGAGTATCCGAAATTTTGCTCAAGAGTAGGAATGGGCCAGATGGCTATCGGCCCACTGGCTCATTCGGTATCTTACATATTTTCTTGATGAGTATCATCAACTTCATTTTACATATGAAATTGCCTCTAACTACAGTTTCAATTTGTCAATAGTTCTGATAACCAAAATTTTAAATACATGTTTGGCTAATGTTTTTGTTTTGTATTTTTTTTTGCTTTTGTTAGTGTATTGTAACAAAGCAGAAGTACGAAACATATCTGATAACATTTACTGTCATTTGAATAGTATGGAAAGGTTTCCAAAATTGAGGTCAAAATCGAAAGTATCAAAATAATGTTTTTGTTTACTTTCGCAGTGTAACAAAACACTGTTCAAAAAAAAAAAAAAAAAAAAATCTAAATTAACATTATAAACTAGCCATTCGATTTTTAAAATTTGCAACACTTTTTACTAAACATGTTTTCATGTTTTTACTACCAAAAATCTTATAACAAAGTTACGTTACTAAATAAGTTTCGAAATAATGTTGACCACAATCTAAAGTAGAAACATTGCTTCTGTTTTAAATCAAAGTAAAAGTACAAAGTAACTGTAGTTGTCAGAGACTATCAAACTCCATACATTAATCACAACTTATTAATATGAAATGGAATAATGTTTAATTTTCCTTATATCTTTTATTTATTTATTATTATTATATTCATTATGTCTCTATTATTTCTTTTGAGTGAAAGCTATTATGTTCTTATTTCCTTGGCCAGCCCAAGTCCCCGTACCTAGACCCTCAAATAGCTAATAGCTAGCCTTCAAACTGTGCACAACCAATATGGATAAATTTTTTGGTAGCTTCTGAATAGTGCATATTAATACATTTAATATTCATGTCTTTAGCATGGCCAAGTAGAAGATTGGAAGGAATCTAAAACACAGTTCATTTTATATGAAATTCAAATATTATTTGACTAGTCCTCCTCCCTTTTTTTTTTTTTTTTTTTTTTTTTTTGTACGCTCATTATAATGGAGATTTAGTGACTACGGTCCCGTAATTTTTTGCTTCCCACATCGGGGAGTTTTTTCTACGCTAAAATTGATTGTGTCAATTGTGTATGTGATGTTGATTAGATTTTTCAGATTATTATGCTCTATTTAATTACTTTCTAACAAATTTACATATAGAAAGAGAATATATTTTTGCTGATTTAATTGCGAGAGATTCGGGTTGCTAGAATCAATTTTTTTGAATTCTCCCAGATTGAACTTGGTTTGTTGCCAAAGTGACCAATTTATCAAAGTCTTAGATGTCTATAAAAAAATAGTTTAATAAGTTCAAAAGGACTAATTTAGAACTCATAAATCATTATACACAAATATACAACTACAACACATGGTGTTCACATAGCAATACAAACTTCGGTCTTTTGGATATTGCAACCCCATTTAGGATGTCATAATACTCATTATATATATATATATTTAAATGTTTTAAAGCAAACTATAATACCTTTGCAGTTATATATATAAAAAATAATAATAAGGAGAAATATAATTAATTTTTTACATTGGTTTTTAAAAAGACTCTTGCTAAATTGTGTGATCCATGTCTAAATTTGTACTTTACAGATCCTATCAAAAAAGAGCATTGCTGAATTGTTTTCGGCAACCTCAACAAACATATTCAGTTTTGAGAGGTTGGAATGATTGTATTAATTGAGCTAGTTAAGTACTTGTATTCCTGCCAATAGTTCATATAGGTTGATAAAAAAATGGTCTGTCCTTTTGGGTGGAATATCCCCCAATATGGACATGATGGATTTTTATATTCATCCCTTTTTTCTTTTTCTTTTTTCACCACAAAGATGAACTATTATTTGATAACAAATAATATGTGAATTTTTTTTACACTACATTTTCATGCTTGTCTTGAAGAAAAAGCATGGTGGGTCGCTCTATTTTGGTTATGGCATGTTTCTTTCTTTTTCTAATATTATGAAATTAAAAATATGTATTTATCCTTTATAGAAGGATGATAGCTCAGGTAGCAAGATCAAGAAGAAAATGATGAATATAAAAATCCATCATATTCCACCCAATCAAGTGATCTATGGACTTTTGATGTCACATATGGAGTTGTAGCTGGTACTAAACCTTTTTGAAAAGTATTCAGGAAATGGTTTAAAAACTTTAGAAACTACTTTAAGTAAATTAATCATCATCCTTGCCTTAATATCATATGTATGGGATCGGCCGTATGAATTTTTTCTTCAATCATTTCTATTACATGTCATATCACCTAATAATATATTTAACTTTTTCAAGTCATTTTAATAACCTCATCCATATTATTTTTCTCTTACCTCCTATTACAACTAGTCTACCTTATTTGATCGGCACATTTCTAAGTCGGTCTCCGATGTGTGTCCAAATCATCTAAATCTATTGTCTAATTTTCTCACCAATGAGTACTACACCTAATTTGCCTCTCACACTTTCATTAGTGGCTCTCTCTCTTTTAGTCATACCACTCATCCATCTTAACAATGCATTGTTCTTGTTTATCTTTTATTGCCTAACACTATGCTCATACAACATAGTTATGCTTCGTTTGGTTGGAGGGACCAAAAATTGATGAAAGGGAAAGGGGGAAAGATGAATGAGACATTCTTAAGGAAGGAAATGTGTCTGTCACTGTTTCTTCTAATTTGGTTGGAAGGAAGAGAAAGAAAGTATTTATAATCTTTTTACTACTATATCCTCATTATGTACAATTATAAAAAGAAAAAGTGGTTGTTTTGAGTATATTTTTGGTTTTCATTACATAAGACAATATTTGAATCTTTATTAAATTTACATTTTAAACCTCAATCATTTTGATTCTAAAGCACTTCTCCACGTTTATAATTTTCATGGAATCTAGTTTTGGAATTCTTGTTATCTCATCTAGGATGATTGCACTTAAATATAGGCTTAGCACCGACCTTTAATGCAATCCTACATTTCTGGAAAAACTGACTAGTGTCACCATACATAGTACGAAATTTAGCTTGTGTATTAATACACATATCTTGGATACTTTTATGATTGATAAGGGAATTTGTTTTCTTCTTAGGGCCCACCAAATTATATCTCTTGGGGCCTATCATAAGTTTTTTGCTAAATCTATAAAATCATATGCAAGTCGTGTTGCTTACTCCTACATTCTTCAACTAATTGTTTGAGTAAGTATATAACTTCCATTGTTGATCTACTTGGTATGAATCCGAATTGGTTATCGGATACAGTGGATTCTCTCCTTGGTCTTTATTATTATTACTCATTCCCATACTTTCATTTATGACTCATTAATTTAATTTCTCTATAGTTGTCACAATTTTGTATTATCTATTTTATTTTGTAAATTGGTACTATTGCACTTTTCTCCACTCCTTTGGCATCATGCCTTGTTTTAGAGTGTTGTTGAACAACTTTGTTAGCCACCCAATTTCTATGTTTCCGTGATGAAAAAATAAAAAATAAAAAAAATTCCTTGTTGCCTAACGCTTTCCACTTCAAGTGTCATTGACTCCAATTTCACATTCACTACAGTGTAATAGCATATGATCTTAACATATGGAAGGTGCTAATCAAGCTTGGAATTACTTTTATTTTTTTGAGATGGATTATTTGTATTACTATACTCCCTCCGTCTCAAAATTCTTGGGTTGTTTGGAGACTGAAATCCAACTTTTTATAGTAGCAGGTCTTTAATACTTTTTTTATTATAGTGATAAGAATCGATTTTCAAATTTATTCTTACTAAATGACAAATGATTACTCAGTAATAATTGCATTTGTCAATGTCAAAGGGATAATTTGGAAATGTTAAAAAAAATAATACATTCATTTTTTGAATGGAAAATGTATTTTAGGACATTCCAAAATAGAAAGATTGACAAGAATTTTGGAACCGAGAGAATATATATTATGATATTAGAGTAGGTTGTAGTAGCTTAAGTAGCATATAAAGAGTGAGGAGAAATACAAGTTATCATGTTGATAGAATGGAAGATGAGGTGTGTAGAATTATCAAATTGGTGCAGTATTTATTTAAGGATAACGCAGAAACATGTAAAATTATGGATGAAATTACATAGGAAACCTAGTAAATTACATTTTGTACTACGTTGGGATAACATGCCTTTGATTCAAAAAAAAAAAAAAAAGAATCAAAGTACCTAAAGCAAACAGAACTTCTGTTATATGCTCCAAGTACCTAGTTGCTGCCACCAAAATGCTTCCACTAGAGTCTCTAACAGCAATACCTCCTCATGCAGCCTTTTGATTCGCAACCGCATGCGGCATCCACAGAATCCTCAGCTTTGGACAAGCTGGCCGGCAAGCTAGCGTAAAGGCGGGATCCAGGTAGTAGCATGTATATAGGTACTAGAATAAGGTAACGGGAAGAAGGAAAATTACATGGAATCCCTTGAACTAAACACCCTTCAACTAAAAGCGCAATAAATTCACTTTAATGGAAACTTGAATTAAACATTTTACAAGCATTTTGAGGAATAAGAGAAGCATGCAAACTTGAATAAAGTAACAAACATGTCAGCATAGATTTAGAAGAATAATAAGAGAAGATAGCTACCTGATGATTGAGGCGGCATTCCTAAACCCTGGATTTGCGTAACCCCAATAGCAGACCGCCACGGTGAGATGAGTTTCAGTCAATTTCGTCTTCTACATATATTTATATTAATGGTTCATCAGCTAAAGGTTAGTGAAGACCGTGTAATAAACAGATGAAAATTAAACTAGCCAAAACATCAAATGAGCACACAAATACAAACCAATTGGAGATGACACAATGGTATGATATTGTCCGCTTTGAAACTTAGCCCGCACAGTTTTGCTTTTGGACTTTACCCAGCACTTCACTTTTTCTCTACCCATGCACCTGTAACTCGCCAGTGTGATAACCTGACAGTCTCTCGAATCCGCCCGCGACACACCCCGCGGGTCATCACAATATTACAATATTTATGTATGTTCTTATCTGATTAATTTTCATCATAAAACAGTGTCCAATTAGAGGTTCCTACCGTTGAACAAGAAACATGAAAGAAGAGATGGGAAAGATGGAGTGGGATAACTTCGTCGACGTTGTGCTGATTTTTTTGGCAAATCCGGACCAATTTTTCAACGGAGCTTCTCCGGTGAGATGATTTGAGGATTAAGGGAGAGGCAGAGAGAGAGAGAGAGACAGGGGAAAAGAGGATGAAATAAATGTGTGGTGTAGACTGAAATAATGCAGAGGAATCCAATGATGTAATGGATTGAGAAAAAGCTGAAGTTAGCATTAAAGTTAGCTGTGAGATCTTGATCCTAGGTCACCGGATCTGCTCTGATATATTATTCGAAAATTGAAGCAAAGATCTGCTCTGAATATCTTAAAGTGTTTATCTTTGGGCCTACAATGTTGGGTCTCTGGCCCATTCAATTTTGTATGTAGTGCATACTTTTTGTGCCTTTCTTGTCTGGCCTCATTTGCGGGCCTAAGGATCAATTAGTCTGTCCCACCTATTTATTTATTATTATTATTATTTTCAAGATAAGAAGTGTTAAAAGGTAGATTAGTGATAGATACAGATAGATTAGTAGTTGATGCAGATAGTCGAAGTTTGACACTACAAAATTTATCAAAGGCATTAATTCGCTGGGCTATTAAGGCATCTGCCTGTCTCACGAACTTGTTTGGAATCAATTTACTAAGGTTTAGATCTGATTTAAAAAGAGGGTTTAAATTTTGTAAAACCTTGATCCGTTCCTATTAATAATAAATATATAAATAAATATTATTTTATTAGTTATAGTTTTTATTTTTCCTTCTATTTTTAATGATAATTCAAATTTTAACAACGTTTTTGTTATTATAGTTGATAAATATTTTACTATTAAATTCCTTTTAGAAAAGTTATCTCACACACACTACTAATAAAAGTGGATTCAATGTATAATATTTATATACACTTTAAAATACTTATTTTAATTAAAAACTATTTCTAAATGGTTTTCACGTATCATTGTTTCCTATTTTTTTTAAGGGACACAATTGTTCCTTCCCTTTTACCAAGAGACACAAACTTTGGCAAAACTTTTACATCTATTGGTTCTATTATTATATAGGATATCTAATATGAAATTTGAACATTTTTTTTATTATATATATATATATATATATATATATATATATATAACAATTTTATATTACTTTGTATTTCAAATAAAATAGTGAATTATTAATACCTTTTGAATTAAATTTTTGTTATTAATAATTTAATTTAGAAACACGCAACATTTTGTTATACTAACCTTAACTGCATATTGTTTCCTTTCTTCAAGTGACGCATACGTTCATTGCTTCCCTTTTCCAAGGAACACAAATGTTTGGCAAAAGTTGTACATCAGTTAAATATGATTGTGTTATATATAAATCAGGAAAGAATAGGAATTAAATATTTTTTGGCACGAAAACATTGAAATAGAAGAAATTAAGACAAAAGAGATAGTTATTAACAAAGAAGAGGAGCTTGGGAGCAGTGACTTGATCAATTTGGTTGTTGATCGAATCCTATTAAAAAATAATAATAAAAAAAAAGAGCCGCAGATAGATAAGAGAGAGAGCGTGAGTTTTTTTTTTTTTTTTTTTTTTTTTTTTTTTTTTTACCTGAAGGGAATCATAACTCTTTATCTCTTCAAAGTTTCAAACGGTAACACCATCTTTAAATTTTCTCATTCCCAAATCGTCACTATTTAACATTATCCAATCTTTGACCTCTTTCACATAAATACTATTAGAAATCTTCATGTGAAACTCTAACTCGTATTTCTTATTCTACTTAAATGTTTGCAATTTTAGAGTTATGTAACACACTATATGGATGGTAGCCTCAATGATGCATCACCCAATGAGTTTCAAGGTTTTTTTTTACTATCACGTATGTGTATGTGTATGTGTATACACTGTAATTGGTGGCGAATTCAAAAAAATCGAATTTGTAACTTACAGATCGGATCATAGATTGGGTTGTTAAAAATCAAATCTGATCCGTGAGTCCGATCCGTAAAATTTATATATTTTTTCAAATAATGTATTTAACCAACGGGTCAGTAGCCTAGCGGTATCAATCTCTTACAATATCTTTTGTAACAAACTAGTATGGACAATGATTTTGCAATGTAATTATATTCTTTTATGAGCTTCAAGTGAAGCCTTTGTAATTATGGCCATGGAGCTAGCAACAAAAATTATAATTTAGCGCCGAAGGGGGGAGGGGGGGGTTATATTCTTTTGTGAGCTTCAAGTGAAGCCTTTGTAATTATGGCCATGGAGCTAGCAACAAAAATTATAATTTAGCGGAGGCGAGAAAAAGAAGAAGGAATCGCCTTACCACTGCCCCTTTGAGTTGGTACTAAGTCAAAAATATAGCCTATGATTGAAGAAAATTCGCAGCTATACAAATTAGGTAGCATTCGGCTCGCTCGGGGGACTCAAAATTAGTCATATAATATGTTGCTGGGAATCTTATCGCCAAAGGGAGGTCAGGGGTTCTAGTCTCAGAAGAGACATGCGTGTGTGAGTACCAAAAAAGAAAATTTATTTATTTATTTATTTTTTGTTATTGGTAAGAAACTCACACACCCACTTTGCTTATTCATTTTGAAAATTAGAAGAGATACCACTTTTTAAATATATGAATTAATATAAATAAATTAAAATTTTATCTATTGGGTTATGATTAAAAGACAAATAATAAAGAATAAATAATATTAATTATAAAAATAATAATAATAATGGATAATGGATAATTTAGATAAAATATAATCCGTTGATATGATCCGATTCTTGGGATAACAGATCGGTGGTGGATTAAGATTTGCTTGATCTATTGGGAGCGGATTGAATGTGGTCACCCCTACGGCTTACAATAGTCTTTCATGTTCCTTACTAATTAAATAATAGTGAATAAATTTGGTTATATATATATATATATATATATATATATATATATATATATATAATTTGCTTATAGGTGAGTCAATTTAGGGGATGCCCCACCGTTGGTGCCTGCGAGCCGGCCTACAACAGTCTTTCATCTTCGTCACTAATTAAATAATAATGAATAAATTTTAGGATGGAGTGCAAAAAATTCCCCTGAATTATTGGCTAGTTACAACTAATTCTCCTGAACTAAAGATTGCCCCCCTAAATTATTGATTTGTTGCAATTAAGAACAAACTCATCCCAAAAAACTATTTTACCCTTTGTTATTAAATTTGTCATTTCTTATTAAATTATTATTTTATTTTATTTTCTCTTATATTATATATTAATTATACCATTTCCCTTAATTTAATAATTAGTAGCAATTGATTATAAAAATGGAAAAAAATAAATTTGTAGCTATCATTTTCTAAAATGATTATCTTATTATAATAAAACTTATTATACTCACTTTAAAAAATTTAGCATAAAAAAATATCATCTTTTTCAAACAATATTCATGAAAAATTAATAAATTACGTAAATAAAAATATCTTCTTTTTAATGCAATATATTCATGAAAATTAAGAAATTACTTAAATTGTTTCAAAATTTTCTATTTAAGATTTTTATTTAAATAATTAATTAAAAAAATTAAAGAAAAACTTATGCAAATTTAATAGAAAATATTTCATCAAATTAGTATGAATTTTTTTCATAATTTATTTTAACAAGAAAAATATATCAAGTGTAATTCAATAAAAAATGGTATTATGGTCCTTTAATGAAAAATTGGTAAGACAATGGGGCATTTTGCAATTAAATGTGATAGTTTAGGATATTTTATGCACAAAACATAGTTCAGGGGTTATTTGCAAATTTAAATATAGTTGAGGAATTTTTTTTGCACTTTACCCTAAATTATATATATATATATAGCTTCACATAATGATAAAGTGGTCTCGGAGATTAGCACGACTTCATAGAGAAGAAAATTAGTAAAGTGCACTTAAATTTTAATTTCATATAAATGTCTTCTAAACAGAATAAATAAATAATATCTAAAAAGCGTTCCCAACTCCTTCTATACTTGGCAATCTTCATGTTGATCCATGCTTTATCTCTAATTTGATTAACCAAGCACACATCCATGGAGAAATTTGATAAATAAAACACACGTCCATGGAAGACCGACAACGGAATACAACAAGCTGTGTAGTGCAGTCATCGAACGCTTTATAGGAATTGTTCCTATAAAAGTTGGTTCAGAATTCAGATATCTCAGTTACGCTACTTGGGAAAAACATCACGCTGGTCGGCCATGTTAATGTCACTTTGTCAATTTCAAAATAGAGAACATTATAATTTAGCACAAAACAAAGCCTCAAGCAGAAAGAAAACCAATCAATATACATAGTTGTCTTGGGTTTTTTCCTTTGGCTCAATAATATTCACCATATCAAACGTAACTTGTGCTATGTCTAGAGTTGTTGGCTTCTGAAAAAGTTCAGAACCCCTCGTAATCTTAAGACATGGATTTTCACTTATGACAATGGAAATTAATTATCTTCTATCAGGGATCGTTCTAAAGGAGGCTAGCTTTTGCATCTTAAAATGCCACATAAATACAATAATCCGAAGCATATTCGTGTGTGACACCTACAATGCCTCCTATGTACGTTTTAACTTCACACCTCAAAATCCATTTCTGGATCTTGAAATTGCTTCAATAAGCTCTTACAATCGAGAACTTCAACGTAACTTTCTTTCTTTCTTTCTATTTTTCTCTGCCCCTAACATTCATCTCATTACTACCAATGTGAGAAAGCATTACTAACTTAATTTGTTCAATCTGATTCCTTCACCAACTACATAAGAGCAGTGTTGTCAAAGGCGCGTCTCTAG